CAAAAAAGCTCTGCAACCTTGGGCAACCCCCCTCCACCCAAAAAGATCCACAACTCTGGGCAATCCTCCCCCCAAAATTTCTTCAATTTTCTTAAATTTGAGTGCCCAGAAATAGTGGGCGTCTTATACACAGGGGCGTGTTATACGCTAAAAAAAAAGGTAATTCTGTAACAGTTTTCAAAACCAGGCTCACACCAACAAGTTTTTGGGAAAGGGTGTACACAACATTCTTTCAATTCACATGCAAAAAAATGCCACTGAAGCAGCAAATGTTCAGACCAACAATGGCTGGGAACAGGGGGCCACAAATTGCAAAATAATAATAATAATAAAAAAATTTATTTATATCCCGCCCTCCCCAGCCGAAGCCGGGCTCAGGGCGGCTAACAACAATAAAACAGTACAAAAGTACAGCACAACAACACTCTAAAATCATTCATTATAAATTAATTCAAATCAAGCCACTGGCAACCATTGGGCCAGAGCTCCGCGAAGATTGCCGAGGGAGGGAGTCAGGCTGTGCCCTGGCCAAAGGTCTGGTGGAACAGCTCTGTCTTGCAGGCCCTGAGGAAAGATGTCAAGTCCCGCAGGGCCCTAGTCTCTTGTGACAGAGTGTTCCACCAGATTGGAGCCACAGCCGAAAAAGCCCTGGCTCTAGTTGAGGCCAGACTAACTTCTCTGTGGCCTCGGACCTTCAAGATATTTTTTATTTGACGACCGTAAGTTTCTCTGTGGGGCATACCAGGAGAGGCGGTCCCGTAGGTACGAGGGTCCTAGGCCGTATAGGGCTTTAAAGGTTAAAACCAGCACCTTAAACCTGATCCTGTACTCCACCGGGAGCCAGTGCAGCTGGTATAGCACCAGGTGAATGTGATCTCGCAGCGAAGACCCTGTAAGGAGTCTCGCTGCAGCATTCTGCACCCGCTGGAGTTTCTGGGTCAGTCTCAAGGGCAGCCCCACGTAGAGCGAGTTACAATAATCCAGTCTGGAGGTGACCGCCGCGTGGATCACAGTGGCTAGGTCAGGGCGAGAGAGGTAAGGAGCCAACAGATGGAAAAATGCCGCCTTTGTTATAGCTGCAATCTGCGCCTCCATGGAAAGGGAGGTGTCGAAGATTACACCCAAACTCTTAACGGACGGTGCTGGCACGAATTGCGCCCCGCAAGCGATGGGAGGTGCCCCCCATCCCATATCGTCCCGTCCCAGCCACAGGACCTCTGTCTTCGAAGGATTTAGCTTCAACCGGCTCCCACGTAACCATCCAGCCACAGCTTCCAAACATCTGGTCAGTGTGTCTGGGGCCGAGTCAGGATGGCCATCCATCAACAGATAGAGTTGGGTGTCATCGGCATACTGATGGCAACCCAGCCCAAAACTCCGGACAAGCTGGGCGAGGGGGCGCATAAAGATGTTGAAAAGCATCGGGCAGAGTATCGCACCCTGAGGTACTCCACACACCAAGGAGTGGCGCGATGACAATTCCCCCCCCCCAAGCACCACCCTCTGTCCCCGACCGGAGAGAAATGAGCGCAGCCATTGAAGGACTGTGCCCTGGATCCCCACGTCGGGAAGGCGGTGGTCCAGGAGTTCGTGATTGACCATGTCGAAAGCTGCTGACAGATCTAGAAGAATCAGCAGCCCCGACCCGCCTCGATCCAGCTGTCTACGAAGATCATCTGTTAGGGCAACCAGAGCCGTCTCGGTCCCATGACCAGCGCGGAAGCCGGACTGGAATGCATCCAGAGCCGATGTTTCATCCAGAAACCCACCAAGCTGTTCAGCAACCGCTCTCTCAATCACCTTACCCAGGAACGGAAGATTCGAAACCGGGCGGTAATTGGATAGATCTAAAGGATCTAATGATGTTTTCTTTAAGAGCGGGCGCACCACTGCCTCCTTCAGTTCCCCGGGGACTGTCCCCGTGCCACGGGACCTATTGCTGATCTCCCCCCGGAGGGCCCGCACCTCGTCTGGACACGCTCTAATCAGCCAAGACGGGCACGGGTCGAGAGGACAGGTGGTGGGCTTTCCAGCTCGGAGGAGTCTGTCCACATCGGCTGGGGATATCCGGTTGAAGTGGTCCAATACTGGACCCGAGGACAGTCGAGGGGCCTCCAGTTCCTTTATTGTATCCAAATTGGCAGGGAGGTCATGGCGGAGCAACAAGACCTTCTCCGCAAAAAAGCTCGCAAATGCCTCACAGCTGTGTGTCAAATTGTTATTTAAATTTGGCTGTCCCTCAAGGGACGTTAAAGACCTGATTATACTAAATAATTGCGCCGGGTGAGAGCTAGCGGATGCAATGGAGGCCGAGAAGTAAGACTTCTTAGCAGCCTTCACCGCCATCTCGTAGGTTTTCATAAAAGCCCTATAAGATGTTCTTGAGGCTCCGTCACGGGCACCCCGCCATACTCGCTCTAGCCGTCTGAGGTCCCGCTTCATTTTCCGGAGCTCCTCGGTAAACCAGGGAGCCCGGTTTCTGCGGGGTCGCAGAGGGCGCTTAGGTGCAATCTCATCGATGGCTGCCAGGAGCTGGATATTCCAGCCCTCAGCAAGCTGGATATTCCAGCCCTCAATGAGTCACCAGGGGGAGCAAGGTCCCGCAAGGCTTGGCGGAATCTATCAGGGTCCATCAGCCTCTGCGGGCGAGCCCAAATCAGCTCGCCACCTAAGCAGGATGGGGGTGGAAAGTCAATCCTGGCTTTCAGAGCGTAGTGATCAGACCATGGCACCTTCATCGAAGGAGACATGATCACATCTATACCTACGCCAAAGATCAAATCCAGCGTGTGGCCTGCTTGATGTGTGGGGCCCGAAACAAACTGGGAGAGCCCTAGTGTCGCCATGGAAGACACCAGGTCCAGAGCCTGTGAGGAGGGAGTGGCATCAGCATGGATGTTGAAGTCCCCCAATACCAATAGGTTAGGGAACTCCAAGGCCCAGCCGGCCACCACCTCCACCAGCCAGACAGCCAAGCGCTCCTCGGAGCCCCACACTAGGCCAACACATTCAATGCCGGGGATCGATGGCGATGGTAGAGCCCTGAAAGGACAATCTTCCCGGATTAATAATGCCACCCCTCCCCCCCAGCCCACAGTCCGCGACTGGTGGAGAACAGAGAAACCGGGGGCGCCATCTCTCGTAAGGTAACTGTTGCCTCTTCACGCACCCAGGTCTCCGTCACACAAGGCCCCGCCCTGGGCCAGGTGGTAAGTGGCAGGAAGGAGCAGGGCCCTCAGGCACTCACACAGGGGAGTCTTCCTGGGCAGCAGAGCAGTCCTTTTGAGGCTTCAGGCCCCGCCCCAGGCCAGATGGTAAGTGGCAAGAGCAGGGCTCTCAGGCACTCACACAGGGGAGTGGCAGGAAGTCTGAACCCCCCTTTTCACAACTCTTGAAACGATCACATTTTAATACTGATAATCAAGTGTTCTTGAACTCCAGCACGGCAGTAACAAATAACAAGAGATTTGTTCAGCAGTTACAAATACTCACAGCATTTCAGATGCATTCATTACACATTTTTATTTGCTCAGGCTTGGGGAGGAGGCTAAGTTAGTCTCTACTGCAGGGATGGGGAACCTGTGGCCCTCCAAATGTTGCTGGAGTTTATCTCCCATTATCCCTGACCATTGGCCATGCATTAAGTCAACTTGAATTGTTCATGAAATTGTTGAATAATTTTCAAATTACAGTACAGAGACTAAAAGGTCTAATGTCAGAAATGGCATGCGCCATGAGTGTTGCAGGCTTCCCTACCCCTACCAACATATTACTGACATGTATTGCTATCACAAAGAGGAATAAAAAGTAATGAGTCTTATCTAGGTCCTATTCAGAGCAAACCCGTTGAAATTAATGTACCTTTTTTTCAATGAGTCTGCTCTGAGCAGGACTAGCATTGGTTACAACCCACTCAGATTCATTCCTCGTTATATTAATTCCATATTCACAGTGATACACCTGTACCCAAATAGTCTGGAAATATGTCTTCTCACCAGTTAATAACTGAAATAAAGCTTTAATTGGTTTATTATTTTAATGAAACCAATTGAAGTTTGCAGCTCAAATTGTGTGTGTGTGTGCACATGCGTGCGTGCACACCCCCCCTCATTTTGCTGGGGGTAGTGCTATATAACCCTTCAGGGTCCCTTCTAACTCTAGAATTCTGTGATTCAATGATTCTATATATGTGGCAGAACTGATGGACCATTAAATTCATTTTTTTTATAGAAATTGTATGGACATGTTACAAAAATTTACTGGGGAGTTTGGGTATAATAATAATAATGTTAATTAAAGGAGCAGGGATACAAAATATCTAAATTTAGTTCATGCAAAGCTTTAAAAGCACATCCTGAATTTGACTCATTATGATGTATCATTGTTGTGGAAACCTTGAATTTTTAAAGAACATATTCTGAACCCATAATTTGAAGATTTTCCAAAGGTATATGCCAGGGGAAATTGTGCTATCATGTTTTCCCTCAGTGGAAGATTAAGGCATAAGTACCGAATTGTAGCAGGATTTGATTGAAAGCCTAACATAATGCTATAGAAGAGAGGACAGCAAGCCAAGGGCATAATACAAGAGTCAGAAAAGTTCTATTCCTGTTGGTCACGTTAATTTCAAAGCAGCTGCAAAGTGCTAATAGGAAACAGAGGTTGCCATGCAATGTAACACTATACAATGAAGCTATATAAAGAACATCTATTTATCTAGATGCTTTTAGAAAGGGGGAAAAATGTTGATGTGCAATGCAAGCATTCTCTAAACCATGCAGGAAAACTGAGAGGCAGTGTATAACACTATCAGGGCGGTATTACTGGTAGCAATACACCAGGGTCTCCCTAAAACCTTTGATATAAGACTAGAAGGCCCATTGGCCTGCTTCCACAGGCATTCAGAGGGACAGCCAAAGGGCTACTTGGTAAGTGTGCTTGGCTGAACATCATTATCATTACCCTTTGACTGGGAACTCTGTGTAATGAAGGTTAGCAGGGAAGAGCCATAGCTCAGTGGTGGAGCATCTGCCTTGCCAGCAGACGGTCCCAAGTTCAATCCCTGGCATCTTCAGGTTGGACCAGGAATGCCTCCTGCCTAAACCCACCAAGAGGGTTTTGCAGAGTTCGTAAACAGGGCTGTTCTTAAACCGAGGTACCACTGTACTGAGCTACATGCAGCAATGGTCTGGATGTAAGGCAGCTTCCTCTGGTCCAATGTGAGTGGTTGAAAGGAAGGTTGTAAGTATGTTCAGACAAATGCACATGGGACTAGAATCTCTCTTCAAACCTTTCCACTCTCTGCAAAGAAAATCCAGGCATGGAGGCAGCGGTGCTGGTGTACATGCTCTCTCTCCTGTGCCTAAGTAAGGCTAATGACTGCAGCTTAACTGGCACATAAATCGACTAGCTGGCTGTTATATTTCATTAAAAAAAATTTGCTTGTATTCTGAAGTTCCCTTCCATCACAGGGGAATAAAAGAGAGAGGTTTGCACAAGCATCAATTTGTATGCACCACTTGTTTTTCCAATTGACAATATAGTTCATAACATAGATGGATTGATGGGGCTCTTCCCCTAGCACCTCAGTCCTCCGGAACACAGAGCAGCAGTGTATGCTAAATTTACTCCACTAATATGCAAATCCATCTATCAAGAAATTGCTCTAGAGGTCTTTGCTGATGTTTATAGCACAGGCACTGATTGGTGCATAGCAGTCCTTCATTTAACATGATACACAATAAGTTGATTTTAATTAATGACTTTTGCTGCTTAGGTTAGTGGGCCTAGAGAACTAATCCCTCCACAGAAACCTTATTAAAACCATTTGAAGGATGAGAACTCATACAAACCTCCAAAAGCTCTCGTTTTCATTGTGCATCAGGTGCATCAGGTGTTCAATACACTAAAATATGGCATGATAATTTTTAGTTTTTTGTTTAAATGGCATTACTATGACTACTATTACTACTACTACTATTAGGAGTTCTTACCAACAATTCATCATATGGTCCTGTGGGGTGGGGGACAAATTTACAACAGTATCAAAATACAAGATTAAAAGTCTGGAGGACCAGAGGTTTTCCCTCTCCCTTCTCCCCTTCCCTTTTATCCCCTTCCTCTGTAGTTTCTCCCGCATCAAATTTTACATTGGAAGCTCCTTCAGCCAGGGACCTGTCCTCTTGTACTTTCTAAAGGGCCATACATACGGGAAAAGCTGCTAGCAAATAAATGCTTTATGGGGTGGGGGAAGAGAGATCTGAAAATATTTCCCACTTTTTTTGCTCTAGCTCTGTTATGGAATGAAATCAGCATATATACTAAACATTACCAAAGTTACTAAAATCAACAAAAGATGACCACCTAACAGAATGTCAAGGGTGTTGTTTTATAAATATTGTTACTCCTTTGAATGTTCAATTAATCAGCACATTCTCTCTGAAGCTTGAGGACACAGTGAACATGGGACTGGAAGTGTACAGACAACAGTTATTGACTCAAAGTGTTAATGATAGCTTGTTATAAATTACTAGAGGTTAATGGGGTAAATAATTAATCCAGATCTGAATATGCTTCCTTCCTTTGCTTTCTTTCAAGGGCAGCATCTGAAGATGATCTGACAACAGAGTTTGTAACTGCTGGCAATCAGGTCAGAGGGTTGTTTAGCTTCCTGTTTCAGAAATGGGTACTTTTGCACATGTGTTTTAAACTGTAAGGATTTTACAATGCAAATCAGAATTAGCTCAGTTCAGCATAACTTAGTTACTAGCCATGAGAGCAGAACACAATATCTGTGAATAAAGGTAGTTTTATTCCCCCTTTTTTTTATTCTTGGGTTACAAGTGAACAATGTTACATTTTATCCTTATGAATAATAACAATTCCCTCAAAGCAAAGTGAAACAGAACAGAACAAAGATTTATATGTCAAGCCAATACTGAGATGTCTTTGTTATACAGGTAGTATAACTGCATTTATGTATTTAACTTGTCCTTTTAACCAGGAAGACCATACAGTGGCATCATCCACTCATAAAAGTAAGGTAGCAGTGAGCTAAGTTGAAAAAGATTTTTTTTTTTTAAGAGAAAACCTAAATCTCAGTAGGTCTGAACATGTCCAGTAAGAATGGAATACTGACTAGTAATTGTGGGGTCAGCATGTAAATTGAGATAGCGTGGTGCAGGAGAATAGAGTGACTGGGATTCTGAACCATGAGGACCCTACGCTGCAACATTTTGTTGCAAATCCCACTTGTATACATGGTGGTGGGAGCAACAACCCAGGGACGGCTTGCACCACAATGCCTTGCTCTCGAGTAGGGATGAAAGGATACGTCAATTTCAGTTCTCTCATTTCTGCAGATATTCCTTAGTATTATTGTGCAGGTTTATCATAATAAATACATTTTGTCTGCAGTGTTGACTAATGTGCACAGTTTAGCAAGCAACTTTTCCTAATATACTGATTTTTTTGTATGCTATTTCCACAAACATTAAAAGCTTTTAAAAGAGAAAGCAAAGAAAAAAAATATAAATATTCAATATTTAAAAACTGGATAAAACCTCTAAGTTACTCATAGACAATTTAAAACCAAAGGCCTGGCACCTAAAATGTGTAATGATGGCAACAAGCGAGCCTCGCTGGGGAGAGCATTCTACAAGCAGGTAGCCACCTCTGAAAAGGCCTGTTCTCATATTGCCACCCTCCTGACCATCCATGGAGGGAGCACACGAAGAAGGGTGTCAGATTATGATTGCAAAATCCGGGTGGGTTCAAATGAATAAGGTAACAGCCAGGCAGCTCCTCTGGGAAGGAAGCTGTGGTCCAGGTCCAGAAAATGTATATAAGGCTTCAGTTGCAAGATGCTTATGAAGATGACTTGTAAAGCTGTACCAGCAGGACCCTGGGAGCTCTCCAAGGTCCTGAAGGTGCACCAGTGGATATCCTCTATAAACCTTGAGATCTCAAGGAACTGGGCACAGTTGATCAATGTGATCTAGGTAACGCAGCGAGTTGAATCTACAGAAAGTAGACCCTTGGTTCCAAATGAAATAGCCCTGGGATGTCATGCAAGGTTACTTGGTGGGTCAATGAGTGATGGAATAATACAAAAGGTAAACAGGGCAGAGTGAAGTATCATTTTAATATTAGGGGATTATTTATGTTCTTTTTCATGATAGGTCAAATGGCAGATGAATGACAGTTGTGGTAAGCATAGCTTGATGCATTCAGAAAAGTAATCTAAGGTCTCTGTACCAAGTTGTAGGGCTCTAAATTAACTTTCACTGCTCAAGAAACCAATCTTACAGTTGTCATAGATTCTTGACCGCTGCAGTCAGAGGTAAAGTCTTAGGGAGTGTTAACAGTGGGATGAGTGACACTGTGACAGAAAATGTCACAATGTCACTGCATAAATTTGCCGTGTTTAGTTTCCAGCTCCCTGTTATAATGAGGATGTAAAAGAAATGGAAAAGACATAGAGATGAACAAAAAACAGAGGAGAAGTAGCTAGGAGACTTCAACTTAGAAAAGAGATAACTAGGCAGGGATATAGAACTCCTTCTAGAATACATCAGGTGAAATGAGCAAGGTAATATATTGAAACAACTTTTTTCCTCATAGGAGACATACTTAACCATTGACACTCTTTAGACAATATTAACAGGGAAATACCAGTGGAAGGGGAAATGAAGACAGAGCAAATAAATAGAAGAATAGTTCATTGTTTCACCTGCATATAGGGATATTTTTCCCCTAACAATCTTTATGTTGAGCTTATCCAAATGGATTTTTTTCTAGTTCACATCTTATTCCTTGATTTTGGTGAAAAGTGAGGGTTTTATTTGCCTGCTCTGATAAAAAAGAAACAATTCATGATTTATTATATACAGTATATTATTAAATGCATTGCTTGCATATGCACTCTATGTTTCCTAACATACCCAGCACATAAACAGATAAGTCTAAAAATGTATACAAATATAAATAATACTCATAAAAATGCTGTAGAAATATAGCACTGCATTGGGCTTGGCTACAGCACACACACGCACACACACACACACACACAACAAAAACACAAAAACACACATGCACACACATTTGTGCAAATAATTATTTGGGCTTTTTAAAACAATAACAAAACTTGACAGTGCATAAGTGGCTTGGACATAAGGCAATGAAAGACACAGTTCTATGTGGGTAAAGCTTGATTTGGTGGGAACCACCAAATTAAATGTACAAATAATTTAAAACGGATTCCTTCTCCAATCCCCCTAATTCAGTTCAGTGCCTGATTCAGTTATCTTGATCAGGTCCTGATTCAGTTGGATTGCTCTGAGTCTGAAACGATCCAAGTCCTGAACCAAACTGAGGACCTTTTACAGCCCTAGGGTCAGATAGAGATGAGGATGGGCAGAGAGTCTCATCTGAATTGTCTCCTCCTCCTTTTCCCCCTTTTTCTTGACAGCTCCAGCTCACTCTGGGTTGATCTGACCCAGAGCAAACCAGGGCTGCCTCAGCCCATTCCAAGCAAATCCTAGATTGCCTCAGATTGGCCTGATTCAGTTCAAGATCCAGGATTTGCCCACACTGGATGCACTGTTCTATTAGTTACAGGCTGAGTTACAGCAGGACATGTGACTGAGAAGGTTGAGCCAAAGGCTTTATGGAAAAGGTGTGTTATGAAGAAGAATTTAAAGGAAGTCAGAGGAAGCATCCCATAGGTGTGCTGCACACCAGGATGCCTGATGGCTGTGGCAGTGGAAATGGAACTGCTTGAAGGGAAATAATGGGCATGTAATCCTTCCTATTAAAATGTCAGCTGTTGAGCAAACATTACATTGTAGGCTCTGCAAATGAAATGCACTCACTCAAATAACTACTTTTGTCTGGTAATGTTTTTGGCACCATGCAATGTGTATGCTTCCTTTTGTTGATACACCTGTAGGCAAGTTTTCTGTCAGCAGGTGGAATAGGAAGCTTCCTACTTTTTTTTAAAAAAAGTGGCAAGCAATGAGCAAGTCAGTAAGCACACAGCCAAATCGTGCAAATGGATTTGCAAGGGGAGAAGAT